CAAATAGTATTTTGTTATTGACAATTTGATTTACATATTGTTATCATTAGCACTGATATTAATAACAAAATTAGAATTAGAGACGATGAACAATAACTACCGTTTACGATGATCAATAAAGCTTTGGTAGAAACAAAAATGCAAAAACAAATGGAGAAACAAAAACAAACGAACGGTCCATAAAGTACGGTTACGGTAGCGGCGTGTAAACGGTTCGCGGCATGCGAACGGTAATAAAATATCCGGCGACCCCGTTTTATCGTTTATACCACCAACCACCCCTCTCTCTCTCATAATATTGCGATTGCCGCGAAATATGATGAATTCGTCGCGACGATTGATGGCATTTCCTCTGTTCCGGGGGGAGGAAAAACGATCCTCGTATCCAATTTTCCGGATTATATTTCAAAAAAATATAATTCATGGATGAAAACCTATACACACTACACTAGTACATACAGACAGAGAGAGTGAGTTAACGGGAGGGGTGGTTTAGGAATGGAATCGAGGGTTTGTATTATTGGAATAAGATTGGTTTGAGAGGGCCACCAAAGCCATCTTGTTATTTCCGCGTGTGCTGAGTAGAAGAAGGCACTTTTCTACCAAAATCCAATTCGGCATTTGCCTTGCAGATTTCCTCTTCACGTCCTCTTCAAAACATACACACACATAGAGAAATTTAAAGAGAGAGAATTCTTCGATTCGGTGAAAACAAATATAATTTTAAAACGATTATATTTAAATAATATAATTAACATCGTTGAAAAACATATTGATAATAAAATGCAAATTAATTTAATGAAATTTTAATTTGTTATTAATAAATTGTTGTTTATTTACTTTTAAAATTTACAAAATTCTTTCTACAAAATCAATATTTGTTTGTATGTAATATCAACATTAATTAATTTTCAATTTGAATGAAAAAAATCTTCATTAATTAATATTTTTTAAGTTAGTAAAAAAAAAAATTATGAAAATTTAAGAAATAAAAATTACTTTTGGTTGACAAACTTAAAATAATTATCAAAAACAGTGTTTATTTCCTTTAATATTCAACGTAAGTTTACAGTGGATGAGGACATTAGCAAAGAATGGAATATTGTGAACGACTTTCAATGAATTTCTTGGAGATACTTTGGTCACAGTCTGCTGACAAGAAAACATGTCAATTGTCATGTTTCCGACTTTGGGTCAAACGTTGTAAATCACTTGATTTATTTTTTTGCGGTAAATATTTTAACCATAATCCAAATCAATAAAATTTATTTAGAAATTTTGCTTAAATGTTTTGGCTTTCTTTCGATACGAATAAATAATTTTATTTATTTGAGTAAATACAATTTCTTTCTATATAAACTGTATCAAAATGTTGTTGAGAATGAAGAACTTTAAAAAATAGTAATAATTTTTTTATTACACTTTTGAGTGGACTTTTTTTCGGATATTTCTTCTGAATATGTTTTCATAAAAGTAAGACAGTTTTGCAATCCATTATTTTGTCGTCGAAATAAAAGACAATGTGTCGCACAGATGCGAAATGGACAAAAAAAAATGTTTTATAAGATTGTCAGTAATTAAAATATTTCTTAAAAAAAATCAGCAAATGAATGTAAATTTCCTGTAGTAAAGAATTATTTTGATTTGTAAAGATATCAAAACACAAAAAAAAAATTCTAATACTTTTGTGGCTCTTCGTTTAAGAATCGCTCGAGTAAAATGTACAAATATTTTGAAAAGGGTTGAGGATTTTTGGAGTGTTTAGTTTCTGAAATATTGAAACCGCTTTGAAAAAATAAGTTTTCGAGTGCAGATTGTAATTTGCGTTATGGTCAAACGTCGAGGATGCGAGTTTTACGGTGGATCATAAACATGGAACAATCTTGAGATGAAGAAGTAGGGTTCGGATCCTTCCAAGTAAACGGGCTCGGATTTCCTAAGAAGTTTTGTGAGAAAAAGTGCGGTCGATGGGAGGAAGGAAAAGGGCTCGAGTTTTCACTTTCAGTCGGTCAGTGGATGAAGAAAGTAAGCAGTGAGTGAGTGAGTGAGTCAGTGAAGATGGAGAACGCGTCTGGATCGTCACGGAGGACAGCGATGCAGACGCTGAACAGTCTGTTTTCCTTCACGAGTCCCGCCGCGAAGAAGTTGTTGGGTTGGAAGCAAGGCGACGAAGAGGAGAAATGGGCAGAGAAAGCGGTGGACAGTTTAGTGAAGAAGTTGAAGAAGAACAAAGGTGCTTTAGAAGATTTGGAACGTGCGTTATCGTGTCCCGGTTCGCCCAGCAAGTGCGTTACAATTCCGCGTTCTCTGGACGGAAGACTGCAGATCTCTCATAAAAAAGGTTTACCTCATGTGATTTACTGCAGAGTGTGGAGATGGCCGGATCTGCAGAGTCACCACGAGTTGAAAGCGCTGGAGGTGTGCCAGTTTCCGTTCAACGCGAAACAGAAGGACGTGTGTATAAATCCGTATCATTACGTTCGAGTGGAAAGTTCTTTGTTGCCTCCGGTTTTGGTGCCTCGTCACAGCGATTTCATCCCGGGACACTCGTTGTTACCGTTTCAGCAGGGCGCAGAAGGCGGCATGCCTTACAACGTCGCCTACAGCGATTCCGGCTTCAACAAATCTCCGTCCCGCACGCATCCGCCGAGTCCTGGTGGAAGCAGCTCGCATTTCGGAAACCCTCAATCACCGTACTCGAACATCTCGGAATCACCACCACCGGCTTACAGCGCTTCACCGGATCACCAAATGGAGAGTAGCAACGATGCCATAGTTGACGCTCAACCTGTAGCTTACCAGGAGCAACCGAACTGGGCTACAATAGCTTACTTCGAACTCGGGACTCGAGTCGGTGAGCGTTTCTTATGTAAATCATCCATCATCACCGTCGACGGCTTCACCAATCCCAGCAACAAAAACGACAGATTCTGCCTCGGACAATTAAGCAACGTGAATAGGAATTCGACGATAGAAAACACGAGGAAACACATCGGAAACGGCGTCCGTTTTCACTACGTCAACGGCGAAGTCTACGTGGAATGCCTGTCCGAATCCGCCGTCTTCGTGCAATCGCGTAACTGCAATCATCACCACGGTTTCAACCCTTCGACGGTCTGCAAAATCCCATCGCGTTGCTCTCTGAAGATCTTCAACAACGCTGAATTCGCGCAACTGCTCTCGCAGTGCGTCAATCACGGTTTCGAAGCGGTCTACGAACTCACCAAGATGTGCACTATCCGCATGAGCTTCGTCAAAGGTTGGGGTGCTGAGTATCATCGACAAGACGTGACCAGCACTCCTTGCTGGATCGAAATCCATCTGCACGGACCTCTCCAGTGGCTCGATAAGGTCTTGAGCCAAATGGGAACTCCGCATAACGCAATCAGTTCCGTCTCATAAACTAAACTCTTAATTATCTTTAATTAGTTTTATACACACACTCTGTAAATCTACTTGTACATAAATCTTAAGTTTGACAAATTTTAATGTACAAAAATAAATATTATTAACAACAAATACGTTCTTTAAATTCACATTTCCAAAATTTATAGTTTTTTTTTTTGAGGAAAATTGCAAAGATACAGTGTTCAACTGGTTGCATTTTATTTTGAAAGTGGCTTAAGTCCATTTTCATCTTTTATCAAGTTGGCACTTGTGACATTTACAATTTATGCTGAACTGTCAAAAAAAAAAATGAATCGGTATTGAAATATACTTAGTACATTTGAAATAATTTTATATATCACGTACATTTTCAAAATAATATAAATACTGAAAATCCTAATTTTGAAAGTCCAATTTTTATTGACTATGTCGAAAAGTGCGGGCCAAAATGTTGAAAGCAGTTATGGAAATGTCGTTAAAAAGAAATCAGTTATTATTGTATGTGCCACAGGATTGTTATAATATAATTAAAAAATGTAGAAAAGGTAACACTTTCATACAAAATGAAATGAAACAAGAGGATTTTGTATCAACAAGACTGCAGTTTACAAAAGATCCAAAAATACCAACGGAGAAAAAATAAACTCGCTTCAAATATGCTGGATGCGATTTCTTAAGAAATGAACCATATAAAATTTTATACAAAACAACCATGGATGAGAACGCAGAATTTAAAATTTTTGATTTATTGCCACGTCGGGACAGACCTAAAAAAATTGGGAATATTGTATTGCCATCGTTATATAAATCACTAAAATACCGACACATGATGGACTTATTGCGGTATATACCACCATAACTACTTCAAATCACTCCCGCATACTGAGAATGTTAACGAATAACTTGTTACTAAATTTATTTCTATTATCTAAAAATATAATTTAAATGTTTTTTTTCTTCTATTTTTAAGCTATATGTAACAAAACAAATTTTTATTTCGAAATTGACGTTTGAAAGTCCTTTTAAGGTAAGCAAGGTCATATTATATACACTTAATAATAGCGACTTTTTTTTAATAGGATGTTTAAAATTAAATCCCTTAAATGCGATTTAACATCGCAAGTCAACCATATATATCTCACGTATATTTTCAATTTTGTAAAAACGCAAAACCTTAAGTATTTCAAATTAAAGATAAATGGACTTTCAAGTCACTTTCAAAATGAACGGCTCAATTAATATTTCATGAACGCCATCTGAACTTAACGCTTGTGTAACTTATTGTTTTTTTTTTTAACTTTGTTTTTCAGGCGAAGCTGGAGACAAAAGCACTGAAAGCGAAACGTCCAGGTTTCACGGACGACAGATACAACGAAACATCATATTACATAGAAAATGGTAAGTTCTTCACATACAAAAAGCTGTCGATCGGCATCAAACTTCGAATAAAAGTTATCCTCAACCTAAGATATTAATTCACATTTTTATACGCTTCTTTTTTACTCCCGCTCAAACTTTTCTCTTCCATCGAGAGGATCGAAAAAAAAATAGAATAAATAAATAAAATTGGTTATTAAATTTCGATGTAGCAGCTTCGTAAAACAAATCAAATACTAAAAAAAAAAACCTAAGAACATTGTAATTTTTTGTGTTTATTTTCACGAAAGGCCTGCGGAAAGTTTACCCCTACTATTTCACCTTCACGACGTTCACGAAGGGCCGATGGGTCGGCGAGAGGATTCTGGACGTCTTCGCCAGAGAGTTCAGAGCGCATCCAGCTGAAGAGTATCAGCGTTGCATTCAAGCGGGAACGTTGACGGTGAACTACGAAAAAGTCCCGACCGATTACAAGCTCAAGCACAACGACCTTCTAGCCAACATAGTGCACAGGTAAAACGCTAAAAATGCTAACTGAAAAACAAACACACTGAAGAAAAATACAATTTTTCAGTTGACTCATTTCTTACAGCGAAAAAGTAAAAAAAAAAACAGTTAGGCTGAATGATTGTTTTTTTTTTTTGAAGGATTGTAACTGTAACTGCAATAATAGTACACATGCTTCAACTTATAACTAAAGCCCTAACACTTACTATTAGTAATTCCATCATTCAGCTCGACGTAATGAGTATTAAAACACTCGCAAACAAAAACATTCACACAAAGAAAACACGTAAAGTACACATAAAAGTATTGTTGTTGTTATTATTATTAACTCCTGTAATGTATCATATAGTGCGTGTTTTCTATCTACTGTTACTCTATACTCAATCTTTACTATCTCTTTGTTGGTCCTTGTTGTTGAACGAACTAATATTTGCAGACACGAAGTACCTGTGACATGTCACCCAATCACCATTGTGCACATGGACGAGGACGTTGTGGTTGTGAACAAGCCTGCCTCTATTCCAGTAAGTTGGCCCCAAGACTGCCTTCTCTCTCTCTCTCTCTTTCTCTCAATCTTTGTCTCTCTCTATCTCTCTTTCTCTCACTCAATATGTATATTTGTACATCAACTATATGTCTATTTCGTACGAATGATTCAACTACGTTATGAACTGAACCATCGACGATCAAAAAGTTCGACCTAACACACCCGAATACATCGCAACACACTCGATGCCCATAATATTATTATTGTTGTTTTGTTTTGTTGTTGTTGTTATTTTTTTTTTATATGTTGTTTGCACGGAAAAACTATCCAAATTACCTCCTCCCACGTTCAATCTGTTAGAATAGATCAAAGAAAAGACTATAAGTCTATTTCTCTCTCTGTCTCACTCTCTTCTTTTTTTTTTTCTTTTCGTCTTTCGTTCGTTGTTTTTGCAGACATGAAACCCCCGTGTTAGCAAACCCCATCAAGCTAATTCATGTTGACGAGGATTTAATTGTTTTGGACAAACCCTGTTCGCTTCCGGTGAGTACGCCGCGTGGTTCCGGTGCTCAACAGCCTCAAGACACTGGCTCATCCTCTCTCTATCTCTATTTCTCTCATTGTCTCTGAAACTATATATTTATACACACATAGAAAGACACAAACAAATCACCTTTTTGTAGTCCATACTTTTCTGTTTCTCTCTCACATCAAGACACATCTCTCCACCTAATGCTAATACAAATCGTTTAGAACAGCGGTCGGGGAACCGGGGTAAATTACCCAAAATGGGGTAAAAATGATTGGGTAATAGTAAACTCAGAGAGCGGTTCTCTGA